AGGGATGAAAAACCATAATTTAGTAACCACGAGAATGAAATCCGCACTTTTTAACAATTCATTGGGACAGAAAACATATCTAAAATTTTAATACTTTGAACATGTTTGTCAATTAATATTTCGTTTGCTTAAAAAGTCTGCATGGGGGTATTTTTAAGTTTCATTCCCTTTGTTGCCAAGCCGTTTTTGGTAACCATACAAATAAATATAATTTTAAAGAAGCCACTAAAACTTTCATTGGATTATCGGGTTGGTCGTGTTATTTTAAGCACAACCCAATTTCAACCCAATAGATTCAGTTTTGTCTTAATCTTGTATCGATTATATGGCAGGTTAACTTTTTCGAGTTTTTTCAGGTTGGGTTGATCGAGTTCATCGGTTTTAAGCACCCTTAACTAACAGCACATGAAATTCACTACCAGATAACATGAAAACTAATTGTTTCGGAGAAATCCTAGTCGAATAAATTAGATACAACCCTCTCAAGATTTATTAACAAATTCCAAAAATCTTGCATTTGGGTTGGTACCAAATAAAATAACAAAAACTATAAGGGTAAAACGTGGAATATTAATCAAAGTGAAAGGGCATATTTTATAAAAATTGGAAACAATGAGTAAATGGGACGATGGCTTGAAAGAATTAATGGATTATTGGGTAATATACAGACAATTAAATACAGGTGAGTGAATAGCTGGAGGGGGCTCAACACCTCCCCGCCCCCTGCTAACTCCGCCACTCTGTCTATGTATATATTATTGTTTTTATTTTTTTATGGAAAAAAGATTCAGAAAAAAGTAAAAAAGATTAAAATTAGGGGCGGATCTAATGCATGGTGAATGGTGATAGGAGTCATCGTCTTTACTTACCGGGTAAGACTATTGGTCCTTACGTTCGCTCTTACCAAGTAAGATTTTTGGTGTTTATCATATTCATCCAGTAAGGTAATCTAACTCGATAAGCACTTACCCGGATAAGCGTTTGGTAAACGGCTCCTAAGTTTATTAGTACAGAACACATTTTAATGAAATCATCAAAACCTATGGTGCAACATATGCATAACTTGGTAACAAAAAGTGCATTAACAACATAGATAATACCAATTTTTGAATGATTTGAATAAGTATAAGTAATAATCAGAAAAATCTAATACAGAGCGGGAGCTGTTTAAGAAAATTTAGTTCGCAAACCCTGCTAACTTCTACGTCCTTTTCATTTATAAATGCAAGAGCATCTTCAGTGGGTAACAAGTCTTACACTAAATATATAAAGAATTGGTCAAAACAGTATATCGACTTCAATGGGTAACATAAAATATTACATACAGCTTGGACATAAAACAAGATTATACGAGAGATATTGCATACATGAATAGCATATGAAATCACAAAGGATGGAAACAGACTGGAGATGTGTGAGGTTCATACTTCCAAAATTAAAATTTTAGGTACGTTTTTTCTTATCTTCTATAATTGGTGTAAATGTATACTGTTACACTTACACCAAATTTGGTGTGATGACGATTTCAAGCCTCAAGCCTTACATGTCACGACGAGGACACACTGTTTTTCAAGACGTGACATAAGACGACAACTTTATATGTCACATATGTAATTATATATATATATATATATATATATATATATATGGAAATTAATAGAAATAGTCATTCAGACTTTGGATTCATCTCTTAGTCATTTCTCTCTCCAAATTTCAAAAATATCACTAGGGCCGTAAATGACACCTCCTCAATTTACGGAGGGGTCAAAATATAAGAAAATCCTTGTGAATCAGGTCCGAAAAGTGCGTGTACCATATCTTTAGATTAGAAACAGGAGTGACACCTTCGCCACTTGCAAAAGTGTTGGAACAAATTTACAGATTTGGCTCGTGCACTTGCGTACCTGATTCATAAACTTCTTATTTTTCACACTTTAACCCACCCATGAACTGAGGGGGTATCACTTGCGGACCTAGTGACATTTTTGAAATATGAAGAGAGAGATAACTAACAGATAAATCCAAAGTCTGAAAATGACTATTTTAATCAATTTTCCTTATGTATACGTATAAATTTTCCATTTTGTCATTCAATAATATAATGATATTAATTTTTTTTACATTCATATTAGAAAAAAAAAAAAAATTCATATATATTAATTATTAAACAAATAGTTTACGATCAAATATTTAAAATAGAACTTCTAAGAGTTTTACAACTTTGTTTTAACCATGAGCCCGTAACATACACAAATCCATAAAACTGCAAGTCATATGATTAGCAAAGTTTATAAAAATGTAAAATCTAAAATTAAAAAAAAAATCAGTTATTTTAAAAACATTTTTTTTAAAATATCAGCGCTTAAAAAAACATGTATGTCATGACGTACCTTTTTAAACACTCATTCTTCGGTCATCCCACCACCAAACAAAAAAGCAATCGACATAATATAAAAGCTATAAATAGACGATACGACTTATTGATCACCCACATTAAGAAAACGAAAGATTCATGATTAACTGTGTCTCTATTTTCACAAGTGTAATCCTAATTTTAGGTTGTTTTCGAAATTAGAGATTTTTCGTATTGTTTTTTTAAAGTAGAGATAATTAAAGAAATGACAAATTGTATGAAAAAAGTAATATATTTTAACTTAATTTATATTTTGGTACCTAAGATGTAAAGTTTTAAACATTTAAGTACCCGGGTAACCAGTCGAAGCATTAACCGGTTACCATGCTGATGTGGCGAGTGATGTGGTATCCGGTTAATGCTTCAACAAGTAATACTGAGTTGGATACCACATCACTCGCCACATCAGCTTGGTAACCAGTTAATGCTTCAACTGATTACCCGAGTACTTAAATGTTTAGAACTTTACATCTTAGGTACCAAAATGAAAGTTTTGAAAGTACGTTACCCAAAATAGAAATCAAGTTAAAGTACGATACTTTTTCATGCAATTTGTCTTTAAAGAAAATATTAAGTTTAGAGATTTTTTTAAAACTTGACGTGGAGAGATAAATTAATTTTTATTTCTTCCTCATAAATAAGTATTGTATGATAAATTTATAAAATATCTTAATAATATAATGAATGTTGAAATCTCTGGAAAACATAGTCTATTGAAGTTAAATGTAATTCTTTTTAGAGATTTTGACTTTTGGTTCACTATTTTAGAAATATTATAGAGAATCTGTTGGAGACGAAGATGCTCTAATAATTTACATAAGAACGTTCCCAACTTTTCTCTCTTCTTTCAAATTTAGAGATTTCCCCATTCTTTTAGATTTAGGGTGGTGCCTGATTGGTTTGAGCTTGACTCCATTGGTCAAAAGTGTCTGAAGATCTCAGGTTCAAAACCAAGAAGTAACAAAAATCCTCTTGTGGCCACGGATGTTCAAATATTGTGACTTCAGACTACCTGCAAAGTAGATGATCGTTCTAAGATTAGTCAGCTCACATAACGGATTGGATATCCAGGTTAATAAAAAAAAGTTTAGCATAGCTGTTAAAAGCTAATTGTTTGGTTTAAATGGTTTAGAAATTTTCTATTTTGTTAACGATTTTAAGAATTTTTAAACCAGGTTTCTCAAGTCTTTTTTCAAACCAGGTTTATATGGGAAAGTGGTCCTCTTGACCCAAACGAAAGTCTTCTAGTAATTGAAGACTTGAAGTTGATAGGTTTTTAGTGGTTAGCTTCTTTTCAATTCTTGAATGATAAGTTACGCGAGTCTAAGTCTTCTTGTTTTCTTTTAATCTTTTTTTTTATCATTTGTTTTTTATATTAGAATGATTCTTATACAATGTAGCGAGATAAATCTCGATTATATTATTTTTTTATTCTTTTTCTATTGATATAATACAATTTGATATGGTTTTGAGAAAGTGATAATATTTATATTTTTGAATAAAATATAAATTTAAAAATATCATAAAATTTTGAAAAAAATATTGTTATTAGTATCAAATTAATTATTTACAAGTTTTCGTTTGATTCAATTTTTTTATTAGAATTTAATTTAGATCTAATAATGAATCAATTTATTTTTGGTTTAATAATATAATTTTTTTTATAAAGATAATAATTAAGTATTCTGTTAGTTAGTAATAAATCAATTTATTTTTGGTTTAATAATATAATTTTTTTATAAAGATAATAATTAAATATTCAATTAAAACTCAACGAATATCCCAATTATATTTTAGATTTTTTATATTTAAAATGTGATGTTTATTCTGTATATTATTATGTATATATGCAATTAGTTACACGAATTCAAAAATAGAGGTTTTGTAAGTTGTATTTATACATAATTTACTTGTAATCCTGAATTTTAAGTATTATGCATCAATAAACAGTATTTCATGCATAAAAAATAATTTTTAAAAGTTTTTATCAAATGCTTTATAATATAGTATAGATAATCGTTGAACATCCGTTGGTTATTAGCAGTGTATCATGGGTTGGACCCAAGTCGATGCTGGTCCAAGATTGTCCTCTTGTAAACGGTCCCAATCTCGACCAAAAACACTCGACCCTTTTTTTATATACAAAGTCCGGTCCATAAAACCAGTCTTGGTTCCGATCCCAGCCCTATCACTTCCAATTTAAAAAAATCAATTTTGAACATATAATAAATTCTTGTTTGAAGATTTTTTTTAACAATATTTCATTGAAATACATTTTAAAATCTCTAATAGATCATTCAAGAACACTATAAATGTTTTTTACACAAAAATATTATACATGTTTTTTTATAATTAAAAGTTTTAAAATTTATTATTGAAACACTTGAAAAATAAACTAACAAAACGACTTAAAAAACTTTAAAAAACCTGAAGATTTTAGTAAAATAGTTGAAAATCTTGTAAAAATCACTGGTTTGTAGCAACATATTTTGGTGTAAAACATTTAAACCGATTAGACAAATCAAACTTATCAACCGTACGAATATTTTCATAGATAAAATAGATACGAAATATGAATAACCGAGCGTTTGTTACACTAACTAAAAATAACAATTTATCACTACACTAAACATCAACCATAACGAACTTCTATTTATTTTGATAGTTGATACATTTTGCTCTTATTTGTTAACAAAAAAATGAGAAGTAAATTACAAAGATAATCCATGTTGTTTGGAGAAACTTGGTTTCTGTCCATCGAGTTCAATAGATGCACCAATAACCATGTCGTAGCCCGTCCCAGTGAAGACGTCACACCATCAGGCCAAGTTCCAGGTGCTGCGGCCCCGCAAGTCCCCAAGCCACCGCAAGGCCGTTCAGTGAAGACGTCACACGGTCCGGGTGGTGTTTCAACAAACTTATAACCAAACCAAACCAAACAAATCCGGTATTCCGGAGGTGAGGTCAGGGGAATATCCAGCAACTTCTATCATCAAAAAAATGTTTCTATTTGCAATATACATATTTCAATCGTGTGAAAATGCACAAACCTGGAATTATGATGTGTCACCTTCCTTCTCTAATACTTCTATTGTCCAATAGCTCCGACAAGATGATGGGGGTTGACATGGAGGAGTCGACACCGGTTGAGGTAGTTGTGGTCGTGGTTGTAGCCACGGTTGTAGTTTGGGAGGGCATAGGTTCTTCCTCAAAGAAAGTCGTATCATTGAAATCCCAATCTGTCAAATAACTGGGTTTCGTTAAGACGGCACTTATTTCAACATCCCCTAAAAGCATTGCAATCACACGCGACATTGCTGGTCTCAAAGACGGCGATGCTTGAACACACGTAAGAGCCACCCCTATCATACGGGTAGCCTGCTGCTTGTCATAAGATGTCAAAGCTGGATCCATCAGCTCCAATTCTCGGTTGCTTTCATGTAGACTCCACGCCTGGAAATACCATAAAGCCGTTTGATCATCACATGTCAGAGCCGTCTGGTCAAAAGGTTTCCTAAGATTACTCCTAGTATGGCTTGGGCATGACAGCTTCATGTAGATGAGCCCAGTCCAGCATGTCTATACAAGCCAGAATGTAAATTTTTCAACCCCCCATTGCTGGTCTTGGCTCTATTACATATCTTTATAAATAGTTTTTTTTAATTTTATTTGAAGGGTTCACTTCTATTTTTATACGAGGCTATCTGAACCAAGCATAGGCTCATAGGATGTTTGGTTGGTTATTGATAAAGTTGTTTGTGTGGATTAATCTGTCTGTATAGATTAGGAAGGTTTTTGTTTGGGAGGGTTTTTTCATAGACGGAATGAGGGTGCTCTTTAACTGGCAGGGGCATAGAAAAAACTTGGTTTTCTACATAAACCTCCCCCTAAAAGCTTACTGAATAAGCCAGTACCAAACGGGCATGTATAGCTGACCGAGTAAGATGTGAGCCTCATTAAGCTCCTAACAAACAGACCCTCAGGCTTATATGAGCCTCTACAAGCCATTAGGAGCCCAGCCAAAACACGAGCTTATACAGGCCTGCATATGAACCCATAGGAACCAAACCTATACAACAGAGCCAAGGCTCAAGCTTTAGGCAAGCCGGATCCAAGCATCAACTTTAAAAGCTTGGCAAGCCATGGGCTAATCCCAGTACCACCTATTTTTCATAAGCAAAGCTCCAAGCCAAGCAAGCTTTGGCTTGGCTATGCTCAAATACAGCCTTGGCCAGCTTACCCATTGTAGAAGATACTTCTGCTCGGAATCCAGTTTCTCATCGTAGTTCAGTCTCCCACTAAGAATCTCGAGACAGACAACTCCAAATCCAAAAACATCAGCCTTTGATGTTAGATGCCCTCGCATTGCATACTCTGGTGCAAGATAGCCACTATGTAGGTTCAAGCAATAAAGGATTAGTGGGTTTCAAATAAAAATACAAAATATCTTAAAGAAGGCCAAAGAAACTCACATAGTTCCTGCAACTCGGGTACTCATGTGTGTTCTCTTATCATCATATAGTTTTGCTAACCCAAAATCTGATATTTTTGGGCATAATTCTCCATCAAGCAAGATATTACTTGCCTTGACATCCCTATGCACAATTCTAGGCCTCGACTCTTCATGAAGATAAGCCAGACCTTTTGCCGTTCCCAAGCATATATTGAAGCGTGTGGACCAGTCAAGGTGCACATCACTATTGCCTAAACGATATCAAGATAGTAAGACTCAGATTACGAAATCAGTTGGAAATTGCAACTCCTTTTTAATAATTTTAATATCGAAAACATCATCAGAATTGAAAATTTGTGATAGAGATCGGCCCACTAGCCCAAGCCCCGATACTGGATGACCACCCAAGGCCTTGGAAAGTTTATTGCTATACACTGAGATTGAAATAGTCGGTCGGCTATATGCATACGTTGAATGCTTTATAGTATTCCTCAAGCTTTCGAGCGTTCCCGTTCAATTGGTGTGTACAAAACATAATGTCCTCTTCTCCTAACCTCTCGTCTATTTAATAGACATAATGCGCTTTCCCCTATTTACTCCTATACAACAGACTACTCAAAAGTCCTATAATGTGCCTGCACATCTTAACTAATGCTGTTACATCTTTATTAAACTACTACCACTACTAACCTTTTCTCCTCGTAGCATATGTATCTAATAGCAGCATCCGGGGTATAACATTTATCAACACAGGAGGAAGGGAACAGGTGTAGGGCTAATATGAGAGAAGTTATGAATGCAATTAGCAATAAGGGGTCACATGAGAATTTAGCTTTTCTGTTAGAGTGGTCGGTTAATACAGCTTGGGCAGGAGGGCAGGTAACATTTGGCTCCCTTTTGATTTTATCATTGTATTTCTTGATTTCTAGTAATCCAATGCTTAACCCTTTGTTCCAGTTTGTTGTTTGATATTTCTGTATCGTCTCTATCAATTTGCCGGTGTATAGAATACATATGTTTATATCCTTTTACATATATTTACACAAGTTTGTTATACGTTGATAAATTCCAGATACAAAAAGACAATAAGGGGCCTGTGGTTCGCAGAATGAAATTTGGTGGAATTGGAATCCATCTAAGGAATTTGACTTGGAAGGAACTTAAATGGAATTTGACTTTGAAGGAATTGGAATGGAATTTGACCACATGTTTGGTTGGTAAGAATTGGAATAGAATCTTTCAGAAGACCTGAAATCTCCATCTTTGTTTGGAGGTAGGGTGGGGGTGGCAGCTGTGATGACGACATTAGTTGCCTGGTGGTAGGTGGTGG